CCCCCCCCCCCTGCGCTCTGCCCCACGTCAGGTGGTGTTCCCCTGCGGGCCAATCCAACAACATGGCACTCCCAGTGAGAACCCATGCTTCGTTCAGCCATGACCGACAGTGCGTCTCCTCCGCCCTCAGGGCACGCTGCACACACACACACACACACACACATACCCCACCCTCTGCCTCCCAGTCCACTGACCGTCATTTTACCAGGTCCGTCGCCGTCTGGTCGACCGACCGCGCGTCTCCCACGCTGCAGGTCTTCAGCCTTGACCCCTTCCAGCGGTCTTACTCCAGCAGGCCCGGTTTGTTCCATTGGCGACGGGGTTGTCCTTTTCACGCCCGCCTCTGACCACCCTCTTGCGCTGCCCCTCCCCGGCTCCTCGTTGATCACAGACAGTGAAATTAGCCAGGTCGCTGAGAATGGCCTCGCGCATGTGGCCCTCTCCTCACGGCTGGTGGCATTCGTCTCCCGCGGGAGCTCCACCCGGTGGTATATCTACAACATGTCGGTGCGCTTCCATGCCAATCGGAAGATCCGGAGCCCCGAGGGGGAGGGCGCGCTCGATGTTCGAGGCCATGAATGGGCCTCCCGCGCATTTGCCACCTCGCCAATGCCTAACCGTCTGGCCCCGCTCCCGGCTGCACCTCCTCCCTCCGGACGCATGCGCATGTGTACATCGGGGGAGGGGCGGAATCCTCCCGCAGAAAGATGTCGTCGTCTATGAGGCTCAAGTGCCGACGCCGATCCGCGCGCTGCAACTGAGCGGCAATTTCCTGGCCGTCTGCCTGATGGCGCGTTTGATTATCTACGACCTGAACCAGCCCCACCAACGGCCGGTCAATGTACAAGTGTCCCCCGGTAGGACATTCCCCATTGCACCGCCAGGGGTGACTTTCAGTGGCCCCGACCCGGCGGCCTCGAAGGCCGGCATGCCCTCCCAACAGCCGGGCAGCCAGCCGCCGGCCGCGGGCAGCTCCACCTGGACCGGGCAGTCGGCCTCGCCGCCGGGGCCAGCCGGCTATGGAACCTACGCCGGTGGGCCGGCCGGCCCCGGTGGCACTGGCGGGACCCCGGCCCGTGCGGCCAGTCTTCCCACCGCCGGTGCTGAGTATGGCCACGTTGCCAGCTCGCCGAGCATCAGCTTCTCCTATGCCTCGGCGCTGGCCAGCTCTGCGAGCTCGGCCTTCGGCCCGGTGTATGTGCATTTGGATGAGCTAGAGGATGTCATCTTGCCGGAATCCGGCCCGGTGCCTGTGCACCTGTACCAGAACCGGACTTTCACCTCCCCGTGTGCCTTTGCCCTGCTGAGTCGCCGTGGCCCGGAGGGCGAGCCCTCGGATCCGAGCCCTGATGAGGTCGACATCCACTCGGCTCAGGTGTTGCTGGCGTACAGCCGAGGAAGCTGCGTCATCGTGGCTGATGGTGCGCGCAGCTCCGCGCATATGTGATACGGGCCTTGTCCGCACTCTGACATCCCCCCCCCCCCCCCCCTGCGTGATGCCGGCATTAGGCCTTACCGGGCGCAGCCTCCTGTCCTTCTCGGTGGATGATAGTCTCCCCTCCGGCGCCGCCGGGGCCGATGCCCAGGCTACGGCCCCCGGCTCAGGGCGCACCCAGTCGGCTCCGACATCTGGACCAGGCAGCGGCTCCTTGACTGATCGTCCCTGTGACGAGGGGACATTCTTCGTGGAGAACCTCGCATTCAGCCCGTGTGGCACCATGCTCGCCGTGGCCACGCACTACGTACGGCACATGGGCCGAGACACACCGGTCTACACCCGTCGACATCGGCCCATCCGCTTTGCTGCCTTCTGACCCTTGTCCCCCTCCCCCTCTCTGGGCATTTGCCCCTTCTAGGCCACCTCGGTCACGGTGTACGACTTGCCGAAGATGGGCCAACGCGCGTCGGGGCCGGTGGCTCGCTTCGCCCGTGGGGCTCGACCCGCGCGGCTCAGCTATCTTGCATTCTCCTTCACGTCGGCGGTTGACTCGGGGCCCCGGCGTCCTGGCGACCGGGCGACTGCCTCCCACCACGTGGAGCCTGCACTATACGTGCTCGCTGCCGCCAGCCAGCGGCCAACAGTTCACCTCTACCGAGTTCCCACCGGCGGCACCGGTGCCGCCGGTGGTGCGGGCGCCGGGGGCGCTGCATCCAGCACCTCTCCCATCAGTTCGCCCACCGGTCCTCCAGGACCGGGGGGTTCGCCGTCCAAAGCCGGCTCCTCTGCCGATCACACTGGCGCGACTCCACATGCTACCGAAGTGAGGTATAGCCAATCCCCTGTGGGCTTCCCCCCCCCCCTTTCCACCTACCGATGGAATCCTCCCCTGACCGCGACCCCTGTGTCCAACCAATGCTGCCACCTGCCACGCCAGCTTCCCGTCGCCCTCGACATCCGGCGTCCTTGGATACGTGGCCTCCTGGTTGCCATCGGCCGCCCGGGCATACATCATGTCCGGTCGAGTGACTGCACGCGCTCGCCTGCCTGCTGGAGGTATGTCTTCCTCTGCCCGGATCCCATTCTCCTCTTTGGTCTTGTGTATATCTAACCATGGCTCCCTGTGTCCACCGGTGCAGTGACCTCCGTGGCGGCGTGCCTCGACTCGCACATGCGCGTCCTCCATGTGGCCACGGCCTGTGGTCGCCTTTACAAGTATCGGGTCGGCGAGGATGACTCCTCGGAATGCGTACCAACCGATGAGAATCTGTGCGTCACTCTGTCGCTCCTCCGCGCGCTGCTTCTCCCTTCTCGCCCCACATTCGGACCCCGGTCTGACAACTGGCCGTTGCTGCTGCTGTTGCTGCTGCTGCTGCTGCTGCTGTTGCTGCTGCTGCTGCTTTTTCATGGCACCCGCGTGACTTTCTCCGCCCCTCCTTCCAGTCTCATCGGTCGAAAGCTTGTTGTGGCGGATGACGAGGACGAGGATGGCTTCCTGGAGATTGATGCCTCAGATTTCCAGTGATGCTCTCCCGCCAGTCTCGTCAGCCTGCCGGTGTCTCAGCTCGCCACTGCCAGGGCCTCCTCCCCCTTATATGTCCTTGTGTTTCACCTCCCCCCGGCGCTGGTGTCGTGCGGTCGCTCCTTTGGGGGCAGGGCGCGGAGGTTCATGTCCCCACCGCCGCGCATGCTCCACCCCCGTGCCACCCCCAATCGAAATACACCGTCCCTCCGTGTCTGGGGAAACTCACCACACCGAATGCATTCTATATGTGTATGTATATATATATGTACGGCCTCAGAGGGAAGGTGGGAAAGCTGGGGCCCTCTGGCAGCACGCATGTGAGGGCTCTGTCAGGCCATTACGGGGGCCGAGGCACGCTGATCCGGCCGCGGCCAAGGTCGGCCACGGGCGGGTCGGAGACGTGCGCCATTGGCGAAATCCGGCATCATGGTCGGCTCCGGCTCCATCAGGCCCTCGGCGGCCAGGAATTCCGGGTTCCAGAATTTCGACCGGTGCCGTTCGCCTGAGGCAGAGCAGGTGAAACAAATACCGAGCAAAGTAACTGTTAGGATGACCGAAACCTGCCTGCTGGCCAGTATCGACGAAGGGACCTGAACCAGGGAAAAGACAGCCCCCCCCCCCGCCCGGGAGCCCACGTACCAGAATCACACAGGAGCGTCACCAGCACATGACCGGGTCCCAGTGAGAGGGCGGTCTTTACCGTGGCGAAAACATTTACCGAGCTGGAACTCCCCACAAAGATGTCCTCGTGCTGCTTCAAGAAGCGCGACATATCGACAGCCTCCTGGTCCGACACCCGCAGAGCGGCGTCCGGGTCAGCCAGGCGAAAGTTTCCGGTCAGACGACCAGAAATGCCGACGCCCTCGGTGATGGAGTCAACCTGGTTCTGGTGGATAGGAGGCGGCGGGGTGTTAGGGACGGGGGAGACGGAGAGAGAGAGAGAGAGAGAGGGAGAGGGGGGGAAGGAGAGATAGATGCTCAGATGAGTGAGACAAGGGAGCAGAACTCAAGAAGACGGCACCGAGCAAGAGAGCAAGGCAGGTCGCATGCCCAACGTACACGCTTGCGTCGACCTTCAGCCTCGGTCGAGGAGTAAAGCACCCCATTGACGACGTGGTTGAAGAGGCTGGAACCCTGCGGATCGGCCAGAACAATCGTCGTTGCGTTGGCCGTCTCTCGACGCAGCCGCCGCGCAATGCCGGCGAGGGTGCCACCAGTGCCGGAGGCTGCCACAAAGACATCGGGCCCGTCGATGCCGAGCTCGCGCAGCTGTGCCACAATTTCCAGCCCGGTGCTGTGGTAGTGCGCTCGGGTGTTGGCGAGATTGTCAAACTGGTCGGCGAAAAGGGCACTATTGGCAACCAATGGAGAAAGGAAGAAAGGGGGATTATTCCCAAGTGTGCGACCCATGTGAGGAAGGGAGAGACAGAAAAAGAGAGGGAGAGAGAGAACGAGAAAGAGAACGAGAAAGAGAACGAGAAAGAGAACGAGAAAGAGAACGAGAAAGAGAACGAGAAGGGGGTCGCAGGAGGGGGGAAGCCAAAACAGGCACCACGTACTTCGGATGCTCACTAGCCATGCGTTGGGCCTTCTTGCAGAAGTGGTCGGGGTTCGAGAAACTCACAGGCGGCACGCGCTCGACCACCGCCCCGAGGGACTCCAGTAGGTCGGTCTTCTCTTTGGCTTGGTCCGAGGGAACGAGAATGTGTGCCGAAATGCCCAGCGGCCGAGCCAACATGGCTAGCGAGATACCAGTCGAGCCGGCGGTCCCCTCAAAGATGGTGCTTCAAGAGGGAGGAGGGGGGCGAGGCGAGAACGAGGAGATTAGAGGGGGGGGGAGGGAAACTGAAATTAGGGAGGGTATGAGAGTCACACGCACCCCCCAGGAGAGATCTTACCCGTGGCTAGGGCATCGGCGATTATCTCCAGGGCAACACGATCTTTGTTCGATCCACCGGGGTTCTCCCACTCGGTCTTGGCCTGTCGGAGACGAGGAGGGTCGGGTGGAAAGAGAGAGAGAGAGAGAGAGGTAGGGTGGGAGAGAGAAGCAGAAGCAAAGGAGGTGAGGTGAGTTTGAAAGGACAAAGCAGTGGTGAGTTGGTGTCGGGGAGGGGGGGAGGGGGGAGTGCGCACAAAGATTCGGCAGCCGGTCAGTCGGCTAAGGGAGGTCAGCTCAATCAGACGCGTATTGCCCACTCGCGCGGCAACATCCGACCGCCGGCGGAGGGTGGCCACCATCTCCCGGACCGAGGGATCACCCTCGAAAAGGGCGTCATCCACATCCAGCGGCCGCAGAGCCGGCATTGGACAGGAAGGGGTGGTCGGGGGAGCTGTGGCCAGACCGGCCCGTCGCAACAGCAGATAGCTGATGGCCACGGAGGCCACCAGACAGGCGCCAGTAAGGAAAAGGTGCCTCGTGTCGGCCATGATAGGGG